GCTACTTTTTCATTGTTATCGATAAGACCGTCAACAAAAGTCCTTCACGATGCCTTTAACATCGGTCTGAATCTCTTGTCTGAACTAGATAACTAATTATAAAGCAGTTTCAATTTTATCTTTTTCCTTCTGATGTAAGATTATCCCATCCTAGCTTACCGCGGAGGGCGGTGGCGCTAGAATAGTAATCAGAATTGGTGATAACCCTAATGGCGCGATTTTGTAGTTTGTAGTCGTTGTTGAGACCGCCCCACACAGGACAGCAATAATCAAAATGTGGCTCTATAAAGCAATATAGCTGTATCTTCGCAAATGAATGGCCTCACTTGAGTGGTACATTTGTGAATTCACCTCGCCATATAACTGTGTATCTTTCTTATTAAAGTTGTGCTCAGGAGAAATCTACCCTGTGTACAATACAGACACCGCTAGGAACCAAGAACATGGTGCTGGTTACCTGCTGAAAATCATGATGGCATTAAAAATCCCTAAGTCCATGATCGTTTCCTCTATTGGATTGTCCGTTTTAGTTTAAAATTGAACGACACTTACCTGAAAGTGGAAGTTCGATAATAATTCTACCGATCTGTAGAGTGACCATGAGATTGCATGAGATATGCGCTGCTTATGTACCGATCACCATCCAACGCCTGATGTGCCAACCACCTAAAACCTAAAACCTCAATGCAGGTTTGACTTCTCCTCTGGGAAGGAAGGGATGTGCATGCAATCTCATGGTCTCTCTACAGATCGGTAGAATTATCATCGAACTTCCACTTCTAGGTAAGTGTCGTTCAAGTTTAAATTCTACCTCACTGTCACGTGACCTGAGATACCATGAGACTTCAAAGCCAAAGTTGGCACATCAGGGAAAACAAAAATATGTGCCAAATGGCAACTAACAAACACAATAGATAGATTTCAACCCGGTTATTACAAGGTTCTCAAAAGGAATCATTACAGTGTCAAAATAGTTTCCTGAAACTGAGAGGCACTACTCTCTGAAGTGTCCAAATTCTTCTCATAATAAATGGCAAAAGTTTGA